TGTCATCGATACAAATGGGACATGCCTTATGCCCTTTGTTCTTGTACCCGGACAGGTTGCCATATGCGGGAAAATCATTAATCGTCCACATAAGGGTTGCACGTAATAGGAACATCTCGTTCTTATGGGCATCAAAAACAGATACTTCTTGATCCCACATCTTTCTCAAATCATCAACAAGGGGCTCAAGGTAAACATCTATGTCGTTTCCAGGTTGCCTTGGCCCCGTTATCATAAGTGAAAGCATTACGTATTTCCGTTTCATGCACAACCACGGAGGCAAGTTGTAGATCACTAAAAGTACCGGCCATGTGCTATGTTGGGTACTAAGAGTGCCAAATGGATTCATATCGTCGGTACACAACCCAAGCCTTAAATTTCTGACTTCATCACCAAATGCCCTAAACTTCATATCGATGTTCTTCCAATCCGAAGAGTCAGCTGGATGCTTCAGCAAACCGTTTTTCTTTCTTCCCTCTGCATGCCATCTCAAGTTCTTAGCATCTTTTGGTATAGAAAATAGACGCTTGAACCTTGGAATGATGGGAATATACCACAACACCTTGGCAGGAGGTCCCTTCATACCAGCATTGCAGCTCTTTCGCTTGTAACGCGACTTACCACAACGTGGACACTCCTCCAACTCTTCATATTCATTTCGATAAAGAACACAATCATTAGGACATGCATGTATCTTCTTATACTCCAAACCAAATGGACACATGAGTTTCTTTGCATAATAGAAGGAATTAGGAAGTTCATTCCCGTCTGGCAACATGTCACATAACACAGTCAACAAAGATGTAAAACTATTGTCGCTCCAATTGTGCTTTGACTTAATGTTAAAAAGTGTTAGCACGGTTGAGAGTTTGGTGTACTTTTTGGACCCAGGATACAAAGGCTTTTTGGCAGCCTCTGATAATGACTAAAATACATCACATCGATCACCAAATTCACCTTCTACATCATGCATCATCTCATCCAAGTGATCACCACCACCGTCCTCGATCTCATCCCCCTCCTCATCCCCATCTCCACCCTGATCAGTCTTATATTCACCTTCCACACGAATCTCGGCACTTTTATCATGCATATCATTCCCAACAACATTCTCCCTATACGATCCCTTTTCACCGTGCCAAACCCACACATGATATTGAGGCCTAAACTCATGACATACCACATGATCCCTTATTGTATCAACACTATCGACCATTGTGACATTGTTACAATTGACACAAGGACAATAAAGGTCATTCACACCCGTTCTGAGCTGATATTGTGAAGCATTCTCGCAAAACTCTTTGACCCCATTAAAGAATTCAAACGTATCACGTCTACCATACATCCAACCGCGATCCATCGACGATTTAAATTGCCTTTAAACATACCAGCACATTACAAATAATGTATAAATGCAACATATATTATGTCAATCAAAGTACATAGTATATATATATATATATCGTTCATATATGTAAAAATGAATGCTCCCAAAAGGTCCTTATCACTCCAACCTAACCCATCCTTGAACGTCTAATCTCACAAGTGAATGTATGTCAACTTTCCAATTTTAAGGAAAATCCGGCAGCATTTCCCCCCAGTTCTTCAAGTACACAATGTAAGTAATTACTTACCTACATATGCACCTAGAGAACATGGTTTCGAAATGATAAGCTGAGATACTCCTTAAAATCGAAAAAGAGACATACATTCACTACCTAAGTGAGATTAAACGTCCAAGAACGGTCCCAACCGGGGACTATTCAAGCCTTGCTCCTAATGAGAAAGACTCGAACGGGTATCTAGGCAAATGACGATGCAAGCATTCAATAACGTGCATTTTTTGACATTCAACAAAACACAATTTCATTCATTCATATAATGCTAATTGGACTACCTACAAGCAAACTAAGCTTACTTACAAAACACAATTTCATTCATTCATATAATGCTAATTCATCACTTTTAGGCTACTCAAATTCAAACAACATCAATTAACATTATGGATACAAATAATTAATAAAATAATTAAGATAAAATTCGATTAAATAAAATTTAAACCCTAAAATTTTCCTACATATGGTGAAATTAAGCATGAACTCACCCTAATTTGAGAGGGCCAAAGAGAAAGAATGTGGGGTGAGAGGGAGAGGTGTGGTGGTGGTGTCGTGCGAAGCTGCTGCAGCAATAGAGTCGACGGTGGTGGAGGTCTTCTGGCAGCAATGCAGCAAGGTCTTTGCAGGTGGCCAACTGTGGTGGAGGAGGCGACGGTGCTGCGGCAGTGGTAGCGTCGTGCCTTTGCTCGGAGTATAACATCAGTGGTCGCAACAATGGTGGTGTCTTGGTGGTGGTGGTTCAGTTAGGCAACGTGTCTTGGTGGTTAACCAACGGAGTGAGTGCGTGCAAGGTGAGAGGGGCAGCGTGTCTTGGTGGTGGTGGTTCAGTTAGGCAGCAATGGTGGTGGTGGTGGTGGTTCAGTTAGGCAGCAAGTTGAGAGGAAATGAAGGAGGAGTGCGCGAAATGGAGGAATGTGTGAAATGAAGGGGAAAAGGAGGGAAAATCCCGGTTTTTTTTTAAAGAAAGGGTAGCGGTTTGAACCGCTTCCCATTACATTTTTGGGAGCGGTTCAAACCAAACCGCTTCCCTTTACCCTTTTTTTTTTTTGGGTGGGTTTTTGTATGGATTTGGAAGCGAATTTTCAAAACCGCTGCCCATTTGGGGCTTCCCATTGACTTTTTTCTACTAGTGTCGCCACAACCTAAGTGCGTTTAAAGGACCTTTTGTGCCACTTTTTTTTAATAAAAGGACCTTTACAACAAAAAAAAAACCTATTTAAAAGGACCTTTCTAACAAATTTTCCTATAAAAAATGCATTTTCAAACAGCTTTATAATACAGTAAAAGGGTTCTCACAGCGGTGCCATTGATTGACGATGAATGTAGATCATCCTTTACTTTTCAAAATAGCTTAAAATTTCACCTTTTAAGTTTCGCATATGTGGCAAATTCTAGTTGCTCCAAGCAAAAAACATCAGCATTATTTGGCCCTTGCAACAGTAGAACCAGTTGGTAATGATCGTTGGTTGCTATACTACCTCTCAACCTCTTCAGAGGTTCAGAGCATGTCATTTGATGATACTTGTAACAAGAAACTGCAAGGAATGCACATATAATCAGAGAAGGTAGGCTGACAACAAGCGATCAACTTGTGTAAGAAGTCAGATTAAAACAACCATTATAAAAATTACCATTCTTCATTCTGGTTTCCTGAATGTGATCAAAGACGTTTTGATGATCTTTTATCACTCCACGACAATAGCTACTGTCTACTGACAGAAATCAAAGAAATGTGGATACCTTCAGAACGACACACCTTTGCTTATCACTCCACCGCAATAGCTACCGACAGAAATCAATGAAATGTGGATACCTTCAAAACGAGGACACACCTTTGCTACATAATGGGGTTTTCAGAAAGCAGCTTCATTACCAGCAAACTCTCTCAAGACATCTGCCACCTCTACTACTCCTAGCTTCCGGAACCAATTGACCAATAATTGAGAAGCTTCTTTACCAATAATGATGCCGGCCTTCTTTTTCTAAATGTATTAAGAACTCCATAGCTTTGTTTACCTTGTTCTCCTTTTCATAAGCAGCCAACAAAAGATCCACACATTTATCATTAGTTTCTATACCAGCAATTGGGAGATGTAATGGGGTTGAGATTGGTAAAAATGGGGAATTGGGTTTGAAGGTTTCAAGCAGTTTTGGACTTGCGTGGACATAATAATTTAGTATGACTCAACTTTAAAAGTTGATCCGACCCGACCCAACCTCATCAGACGGGAACCCGATCTGATCATCCACCTTGACACCTCCAAATACATTGACTCTACTCGTAGTTAATTTGACTAGAATTTATTAGTATTATAATTCTGTTAGTTCCATTTGATTAGAATTTATTAGTATTATAATTCTGTTAGTTCTACTTACGGAGTAGTATCCATGAAAATGAAGCGGGAAAGTAGAACGCACGTATAATAAATTAAACATACATGGAATGAAAAAAAAAATTGATATAATCATGTAGATTCATATCCATTATTTAACAAGCTGGCCTAGTAACAGCTAATTCATTATTGTAAAATTTAATAATAATTGGAATTGTTTATACTAATTAACCCCTTAGCTTGGCCTATATATATGGTTGATCCAATAATCTCGCCAATTTCATTCATTCATTCATTCAACACTATTACTAAATTCATATATATATATATATATATACAAGTAATTGCAATAATGAGTAATTATTGGTTGGTGTTCATGATAGCCATGGTTATGGTAGCCACGCCCTATACCTTGTCGGCAGACTCCGCAAATGTACCCTGAAAATGAGGTGACAGCTCAACGTTTGAAGGAGGCCGAAGAGAAGGAGGCTCATGGTGTAAAAGTTCTCAACAGGCGCTGACTATTGTCATCAGTGCCTGGGAAAAATTGTTGATAGAGCATAGAATTAATTTATTTTGAATGACTACAGAGTATTATTATTGTTGTTATTTTGTAATTTTATTATTATTTAACGTTGTTGTTATTATATTATTACTGAGTATTATTACTGTTACAAAAAGAAAATGTGCAGTAAATAGTTCCATGGAGAGCAAATCTCCCGGCAAATTAGACTAGAGCATAGGGATAACAGTATCAACAATGAAAGGAATTTAAGGCCACAAGACTCGTGCACAAATAATCAAGAGCAAATTGTGTAATGTCTAGAACAAATCCTAGCTTGTTATTCTTATGTTTGCTTTACTGAACGCAAAATTTCAACTCATTAAAAAACTCTTCAGTAGCTTCTTTCCCAGTAATGATAATAGACATATCTTCAATTAAGGGTTTCGTCCACATATAGCAAGGAGCAGTACAACAGCAACAATACCCCAATTCCTCTGTAAACTACCGCCTTGGGAGAGAGGGAGGAGGAGGGGGGGGGGGGGGAGAAGGCAAGGATGAATATCTTTTTTTTTTGGTGTTTAGAGAGTCACAAGGGCGGGGTGAGAATCGATCCCAAGATCTCCTGGAACCGGGAAGGAAACTCTAATATCCCTCACTATCGACAAGGATGAATATCTGCAACCTTTCATCTTGCATTGAAAGAGGCTATTTCATTTCAGTATGATATGCCAATTCACAATTAATGAGAGTTTGAGGAGCCATTTTAATACATTCTGTGATAAGTAAAAGACTAAAATTAACCATATAATAATGCATTTTCAGACAGCTTTATAATACAGTAATAGAGTTCTCACAGGAAATCATCAACATGCATCGGTGCCATTGATTGACAATGAATGTAGATCATCCTTTTCCTTACGAAATAGCTGAAAATTTCACCTATTAAGTTTCGCAAATGTGGCAAGTTCTAGTTGCTCCAAGCCTCTAGGCAAAAAACATCAGCATTATTTGACCCTTGCAACAGTAGAACCAGTTGGTACTGATCTTTAGTTGCTATACTACCTCTCAACCTCTTCAGAGTTTCAGAGCTTGTCTTTTGATGATACTTGCAACAAGAAACTGCAAAGAATGCACATATAATCAGAGAAGGTAAGCTGACAACAAATGATCAACTTGTGTAAGAAGTCAGATTAGAACAACCATTATTAAAAATTACCTTTCTTCATTCTGGTTTTCTGAATGTGATCAAAGACGTTTGGTGATTTTTTATCACTCCACGACAATAGCTACTGACAGATATCAATGAAATGTGGATACCTTTAGAACAACACACCTTTGCTTGATCACTCCATCGCAATAGCTACTGACAGAAATCAATGAAATGTGGATACCTTCAGAACGACGACACACCTTTGCTACTTAATGGGATATTCAGAAAGCAGCTTCATTACCAGCAAACTCTCTCAAGACATCTGCCACCTCCTCTACTACTCCTAGCTTCCGGAACCATTCGACCAATAATTGAGAAGCTTCTTTACCAATTATGATGCCTTCTTTTTCTAAATGTATTAAGAACTCCATAGCTGAGTTTACCTTGTTCTCCTTTTCATAAGCAGCCAACAAAAGAGCCACACATTTATCATTAGGTTCTATACCAGCCTTTCTCATATTTTCAAAAACAACGCGAGCTTTTTGACTTTGACCAGACTCAAAGTAGGCATTTATGAGAAGGCCACACATTCTCACATCAGGACAAATGCCACCAACTTGGATTGCATCAAAAACCCTTTGTGCCCCTTCAGCATCACCTTTCATGGAGTAAGTCCTCAACAATGCCTTATAAACTTCCGCACCTGCATAGATCTCTTGCTGTTCCATTTCCTTAATTAAGTCTTCTCCTTTATCTGGCATACTAGCTCTGATGTAAGCCATGATCATTGAACCATATGATCTTTTATCTAATGGCTGACAGAGAAGCTTCATTTCCTCAAATGTTTCTTGAGCCAACTTGAAGTGGCCAGCTTTACTGTACATATGTATCATGGTCGTCAATATAACCTGATCACAAGTCAGCCCCCTTTTACTCATCATCAAGAGCACATCTTCCGCATCTTGATGTCGGCCATTCTTGGCATACAGATGAATTAATTTCGTATAATCACGAATGTTGGCTTCAAATGATTCATCCAAAAGTGCAAATTCAGAAATCTAGGACCAAGTAAACAGAGTTCAGTTCTACACGGTAATACAAAAGATTATCAGATAAATGCATACTTAGTAATGGACTCACGGTTAGTCAATTGTAGTGCATTCTAATTGCATGCGTACCTCCAGGAAAATGATTCTGATAGGTATTACATATCAATACCCTTTCTTTGACATACTAATTTGCTATGCTAAATAGTAAGAAGTTGGAGAATTAACTTTACTAAGGGACTAAGTCCAAACTCAAACTCAAACTCAATCAGAACATCTATAAAATGCACATTTTCATCTTTCTAACATTCAATCTCAGTGCAGGGCTATAGTTCACACAATAAGAACATCTATATAATAGTATACCTTTTCATCTTTCTAATCTTCAATCTGCCAATACAGGGGTATATTTAAGGTGTATCCCAAAACTACTAGGACACCATGAAAACTAAATCAGTATGGGGAACCTAATACACCATAAGACAGAGTTTGTCAACGAATTAGGTAACCCAAAATTAAGTGCTTGTTTAGGAGCAGGAAGTGGCAGCAACTACCATATTGGAAAGCAAAGCAAGCAGTCATCACTCATCAGTAGTTCAGCACTTCAGTTATACTGGAATGCCATAGTGTACAATCGCTGCGCAATTGCATATGAACATCAACATTATTCAAAATGCAAATTTCCTTACAAATTACACATGAATTCATTCCCATAATCGCAATTATTACCATCTAATTCTACCAACCACTGCCCCGCCCCGCCATCATTGCTTGCAGTTCAATACAAATCATGGACGAAATATGCAGTAAATCAAGCATTTGTACAGAAACCAGATGAATGTTTCTCCTACCAAGACAAAAACAAGGATTTATATGCTTCAAAATGGACCAACCCAATCAAATTAAACATATTCCAGATATTTTCTTATAAACAAGCAAACAAACTAAAAATTCATTCAAATTCCAAAAATCATATGATGAAAGCTATACCTCAATAAACAAAGGATGATTAATAAAGCTTAATTCCTTAAGAATTACAAGCCAATCAGCTCTTCTGGGCTTCATAATTCTCACCCAAGCACCCAACAAATCAGACAAACTACCCTTTTCAGCTGAAAAACAGATAATCTGCCGCATTAAAGCCGTACATCTTTTCTCCATTTTCTTGGGTAATTTAGAAATTGCACGTTTTTGTGATTCTGTAATTTTATCTTGCCTTATTTCAACCCATCTGAATTTCGGTGGCTCTTTTGGTTCTGGGGTTGCTTCTGCATTTTCTGTGATTTGTGAAATGGAAATTGATGAATTTAATCTGGTTGTGAATTTAAGTGTTGCTAAATTTGTGGGTTTTTCTGGGAATTTGGTGTAATGTAGTAGAAGATTATATTTGATTGGATTGAAAGGGTAGGAGAGCAAGTGAGATGGAGAACAAGCCATGGGTTTTGGAAGGAATTGAATGACTCGAGAAAATTGGAAATGAAGTGATAAATAGCAAGTAAAACGGTAAACATAAGAAATTGCCTAGGAAAAATGGATGTGAATTTCATTTTGTGAGGGTCAAAATGGGAATTAATTTTCCTGATTAATTTCGTGGTAGGTTTTAGAAAACTTGCTTTAAAAAAAAAAAAGCATTTTGTAAAGCTTACATCTTTGCCATAAAAACAATTAATAAAAAATAAATAAAATATGTCTTACAATTTAGAGATTTTCGTATACAATCTTTACATGCTTTTTTAAAACACAAGGTTGATGTTCATTATTGTCAAAGTGGTGCTTTAGCTAATCCTATATTAGCGGGTTTAGCAATATTATTTTGGTTTGATTTTGCCAAACTTTTAATAATAGTATTTGATATCGGCAGAATTTTAAATTTTTTTGGGTAAGAAGAGGATTCACTCGAGGGGATAACAGAAATCCCTCAAATGTCTCATGAAATTTGATCTAGAAATCCCTCGAACTGTCCCATGAAATGTGATCCTAGACTTCACAAATACGAGATAGGGAGCTATGCCACTACTCCACCCCTCAGCCTCATTTGATATTAGTGGATTGGAAGAAAGGTCGTGTTGCATTATCAATGATCTAGTGGCAAATTTGCATTTGTATGGTAATCTAGCGGCAAGTAACAAACTATGAGCAATAAGTCGAATCCTAAAGAAAGTAAGAAATCAAAACCAATGTCACCATTTTTCTCAGGAGAAAACTCACTTCTCTTTCCATTTTACAATTTTACATGGTATGCAACATAATTTAAACATGAAAACCTCACTAATTATAGCAAAAGATGTCTAGTTAATCAAAGTTGAGAAGATCCACAAATCATCAGACTAATTCCTCGTGAGGGATGAATACAAGAGGGCATTTATTACATTTTTGGAGATAAAAATACATTAGAAGTGCAAAGAACCATAAGCTTTGCGTCAACCCTACAAGAAATGTCATAAAATACTACGTACTTCAACGTTAGAAAAGATAATAACAGTTGGATTTCGTTACCACTTAAACCTGTTTTAAGGTGTGGCATCAATAGTGATCTGGTTCTCAATGTAGATAATTAACCAGTCCATCTGCCATACCATTTGATCATCAAGTCACCGGCATGAGTTGTTCATAGGGCATCAACCAGCCTAATCTTTCCACAAACTGATCAAATTTCATTTTGCTTTCAACTCAAATCTCCGAAAGTTGGGAAGTGCATTTTTCAACAAACGAGTCCCCACGTTACCCCTTAACCTGTCCTCAACCACAAACGTCCCAGCAGTGAGTGGATAGGCAATCTAGTTTGCCAAAATTGTAGGTACGTACATTTAGTACCACTGACTACCAGGTCCAGCTTGAGCTGCAGCTACCTTTCTAGCCAAGTACTGGGGCTTAGGCTGTAGCCCATTAGACCCTTCCATAGAATCATCTTCTCCTCTTTCATTTTTGCACCCAGGATTTCTTTTTGGATACGAGGAACTAGGTGTAGGGAATTGAGAGGCAGGTATCGATGGATTTCGCCCTGGTCGTCGATCTGTCACCTCTGCTGTTGCTGCTACCCCACAATTGTTATAACGCATAAGGTTTCCGACAACCTTCCCTGGCCTTGCAGCAGCTCCTGCGGTAGATATGAAAGGTCCAGTTAAAAACTTGTACAAACCAGACTAAGGTATTACTTAGTATTTGTCAAGGACTATCTATTCTTGTTTAGACACTCCAAGGAGAAACATGACAAGAATATCACTCCTTAAGCGCAAGTATTAATAAGAGGGATGTAATTAAAGTGGAAAAGCTATATCCATGTATACTATGGCAGGTTGGCGTACAATTAATATATTTAAGAGAGTTGCATGCTTTGCACTCTGTTTTTTATCATGTACCTGCCTTCTGTTTTTTATCATGTACTTGCATAATACATTTGTGGCATAACAGTTAATTGAACTTTCAGATCTCCAGCTCAACCAGACTCAAACCAATAAATTTCAGGTTCTCTTGGATTAGGGTTAAGTTGAAGAATACTCCACCTTGAACGACAATTTCCAAATTCGTTTATGTCAAAATTTCATGTTTCTAAAGTACATGTCACTTAGGCCTAATGTTGTATCCTCTGCGAACACTTGGGATAAGATTTAACATGATGTGATCACTATTGAACAAGATTAGAAGATGATTCTTACCCTGTACATTTTGAGGAACTTGTAAAGGAAGCCTGGTCATTGGAATTGCACCGTTCCTGTCCACATGTGCCTTTTCAACTTCCTTAATCCGACATTTGGAGAGATCTTCAGTGACTTCAGTAGAACCATGAACTGAGTTGTCTGAATATAATACACAGGCCCTGCATGATGAAATTGCTTTCAATGTAAATAAGAAAGACCATGCGTGATATCACTAGAATTGGCATTTGAGCTGTAAAGCCATACATAAAGCAAGAGATAAAAAGCCCTGTGAAAGAGAGTGCGTACCTTGGCAAAGAAGCGTGTTGCCTATCAATTGGAGGACCAGTTGAACCGTTTTTGTAGTGTTCCTCAAGGTAAGCAAACTGCTTTTTGAAGTGATCAACAGCACTACATACCAAAGTAAAATCCCCTTTAGCAACAAGTTGTTTATTCAGCATTTGGTGAAAGATTGGAAAGCCATCACCAACACATAATGAACAAAATGCTAAATTTGGCTTCTGGTATAAAAATAACACACTGGCAAAAAGTAATTGCATGAATTCATATCGGTACGCCAACAGAGCACAGGAAAAAGGCAACAATTTTAAATGTTGATCGACCACACAAGGCTAAATGTCAAATTCAACGATACCTTGGATACATGAAGTTAGTTGGCTCTGAACCATCCAAAAACTCCTTTAACATCTTTGGATGATATTCAAGAATCTCTCTGTAAATGAGCTCCCTAACATCCTCTTTAGTCATTCTGCGTCTCTCAAATTCAAACTCCATCTTTGTAACAGGCTGAGCAGAAGGCTCCCTCTCAACCTTAGCCAAACCCTTAAAATATGGATCTGCAAGAGCCTGAAGACATGCAGCAACACCAGCCTCATTAAAAAAGTAATGAAGTTTTAAACGTGCGTATTTTATAAGCAAGATAAGACTTTCAGGCAACATACAAAGGGCAACCAACCTCTTCAGCAGAAGGACGGTCCTTAGGCTCAAAAGCAAGCATTCGTTCCAACAAACGAAGGGCAAGAGGATCAGCATTTGGAAATTTATGGGTGAAAGGAATAGGCTTTTTCTTGCGCATGCTGCTCAAGTATCGCCTAGCCTTTTCATTACGTATCTGTAAGAGGATCATCAATACAAAGGTTTATGATCGGGAACAAGAAGTTATATCATGAAGACCAACAATTTAATTGTAAATACATTGAAATGATTGGTGAGCTTCGAGACAAACCCGGGCAATAGCATCAGGAGAAGGAGTTCCTAACAGCTCAGTCATGAGGTCCAGTTGGTGGACCACATTCTTCCCAGGAAACAGGGGTTTCCCAGTAAGAAGCTCAGCAAAAATGCACCCAATGCTCCAGATATCAATAGCAGGTGTGTACTGTGAAAGGTCAAATATGCAAGCATAAAAAACGGTATGAGATGACACTATGACAGCAAAGAAAATATTGCACTTTTCTACAAGAGACATTTGGACAGGCTTGACAATAGAGACAAGTCGAAGGTTTTCTTCTGGGCGCAAAGATAATTACAAACTTTTAGCAACAGCAACCTCCACAATGAGCAGTGACATAAGTGGATACTGGAATAGTGTGTAGTCTCAGAATAGAAAAGAAGTCATCGTACCTAACACTTAAATTAAAGAGCATAAAGCAGGCCAGCCAGCGTAATTACAACCTTTTGTAAATCCACATTCCCCAAATGAGCAAATTTATAATAGGGTGAATGGGTGATGCAAGTTACTTTAGGTCACACTGACCTTCAGATAAGTAGTGAAGCAGGAAATTTTGGCCGACTCAAAAATATTGATTCAATGGGACTCCATAATTTCTGGATACGGTTACTTTGCAAAACAAGATTTAAAAAAGTGTATACTCTCAAAATTTATCAATTGTGGGCCTAAACTATCAGTTATCAACTAACGATGTAGGAATTTACAGCTGACTCAAGATTAATTATATAATGGACTCTATAATTAACAAGTATGGTTAATTTCTGAGTTAAGATAAAATTTTGTACTTCCTGAAATTATTTAAGGGCCTTCAAGTGTATACACATGGTTTTCAGTCTTTCAAGGCCATACAGCTCAAGTTAAAGTGCTTGGTTATTGCTGAAGTGCTTGGTTATTGCTGGACATGTATATGAGGCTGGGTTCGGGGCAGGTTGGTCTACTCTTAATGGGTCTGGGGCAGGATGGGTCATAGGTTAGTGTATAGTGGGGTGGATCGGTCAAGACCCATCTAACCCGGTGCAGCCCAACCCTTTTTTTTCTCCTTTTTTATTTTCTCTGTATTTATATTTACGCTGCTCCTCTCTGTCCTCCATCACAATCACACCCACATCTTCATTTCTTCGTCGGTTCATCCTTGTTCTTTCCCTTCAAAGCGCTGCCTACCCGTTGTTTACCTCCACCTCTTCTCTATCTCTCTTAACGGTGGTATCTTCCGAAGCATCATACTTTGGCCTTCATTACGAAATCCACTTCAATGATAGTCTTGAGCACCATTGATGAGAGCTTGTGAGTAAGAGCAAAGGATTTTCTCTCCTACGGTTCTGCAGAGGTAATAAATGGTGGGTTCTAGTTGGGAGGAGAAGAATTAAAGGGATAAAGAGGGTTTAACAGAGATTTTGGAGTTTTAGTGTTGTAGTATCAATATTTATTTAACAGGAGCCATTAAGACACTTGATGATTTAAAGACTTTACAAACTAAGGGCCTGTGGCCTGCCCCACTCCACTAAAAGCCCACATAAGGTCAACCTTTCTAAAGCCCACCCCATTCATAAAGTGGACCAGGTCAGGCATGTAAGCATGTTCAATACAAGGCCGGGTCTGGGCTTTTAATGGGGCCCCACTCCTTTGAGCAAGTCTAATTATTTCTATAATGTATTAGTAAAAATTTGAAGTACTGATAATTATGCTGCATGTGGTGCCAATTTGAATAGCTAGGCCTTGTTTGGTTGCCAATATAAAATGGGAGAAATGAAAATTCATGGGAATTGATGTGTTAAGTAGTTGTTTGGTTGACACATAAAAGTAAAAATGGAGGAAATAGAAATTCAAAGGAATTTCAATTTCCCACAAAACATGGAAAGTAAATTCCCTAGCTCCCCCTTGGTCAATTGATATTTATGGGAATTTATAATCCCACATTGCCAACCAAACAAATTATGTTAATTCCTAGGCATTTCATTAGGGGAATAATTTCCCAGGAAATACAACTTCATACGGGAATTTATTCCCCATGTCAACCAAACGACCCCCTAGATACTAAATAGTATATTTCTAAGCAGCAACACAAGAAACTAGGTCCTTTTTTAAAATCATATTTCATGACTAGTCTGTACATATTCTTAGACAACTGCTAATAAGGTAAAACCTCAGGCAGCAGCTATTTGATTTCTGTGTGACTAACTCTTGCAAACAACGAGCAAATGAAGAAATGTCTGGAATAGGTGAATGTGCAGCCAACTAGCCCTACTGCCATAAATCTAGATTCAAGTTGTGAATAACTGCAAGGGGGTATGTTTCACACTTATTCAAGTGATTATAGGATATAATTTTTATTTGTCTTGCCTTATCTCATTTGTGCATTGTAGGTCGGGTCTGTTTTCATGATTATATTCCTTTTGAACATCTGATTAAAGATTTGTGAGCCATAAATGATAAGTTTTCCAATCCAACTTTATTAAGGATTTAGGGTTATAGGCAAGTAAATCTTGGGGTCTTGGGCACAGTAGACTTTGGGAATTTGAAATATCTGTGTATTTGTATCTATCTGAGGCATGTATTTAAGATATTCTATCTATGTACAAATTTAAAAGAATAATTTGAAAATATATTTTCTTCTCCTTGCACAATTGAGCCATTTATGTTCACTTTTACAAGAATGAATTGAATATACATATTCATTTCCTTGCACAATTGCATCATTTAACTTTCCTTGTTCTCACTCTTCTCAGTGAGTGATGGTGAGTATAAAATCCTTGTTTTGGGCAAGTGAAAACCTAATCTAGTCTCTCAGATTAATTTAAGACCTTATTATTTTGAGTGTTGGGAGAGTGAATCCAAATACTCAATGGAAACCCAAACTAAGAATCCATGCTACATAAATCGCATTCACAGTGTTGACAAGAGGTTATTCCTTCTGCTGCCAGCCATTATTCAACATACGCCTTTCAGCCATCAAATTGCAAGATTGATGGAACATCATAGATTTCCATCAAACATCACCAAAGGGGAACAATAATACTGATTGATTCATTCTTTCATCTTAAGGAGCTTGGTTCGTCTGTATCTAGGCACTACAGATACATAATAAATCATCTAGGAAAGGCTTCAAGAAGAAATTCTGACAGCCACATTAATATGCTTAATTGACCACCTTCATTTTACTAACCATCATAATTCCTAGTGGATGGCTGTGATTACATTTTTACAATGAGTATAGATTACATGCCTCAGATTCACATATTCTGCATGCATGCACTTGCTTATTAGATTTGAACAGGCAAGTAAATGCAGTGTTCTAATCACAGCCAAAGTTCATAGAACTCAATAAAAACCACCAGATGAAAAACAAACGCTTGCAATGTTCTAAATCACAGCCAAAGTTTATAGAACTCAATAAAAACCATCAGAAGAAAAACAAACGCTTGCTAACAGAATTCCAGCATCATTTAACAAAATTTAGGATATGCTGCGATCAACAATCTATTTACAAGAAATGACAAAAGGGGAGAATGCTGTTACATTTGTACCTTGGAGAAGAATGATCCACACAATTCAGGAGCCCTGTACCACCTTGTTGCTACATAATCCTAAAAATGCAAGAAGCAGATATTATCAGAACTCAGACATAATAATATCATAGTCAAAAAAAAAATGTTAACCAGTAAAAAAAGGAATCAGCGAACGGGAGGGCTAAAAAAAAAAAAAGAAAGAAACTAGATTCAAGGAGGTTTACATACTGTCCAAAATATTGCAGTTGGTGTGTCATTAAAGGCCACCCTTGCAAGACCAAAATCACATATTTTGAGCTTGCAGTCAGCATTTGCTAAGATATTTTTTGGTTTCAAGTCTCGATGAAAGACATTTGCTGCATGGAAGAGAGGATTTAATGAGAATAAGAGGCAAATTTCAACCAGGGAATTCTAACTTTCCAGAACTTGATACATTCAACAGAAATAACATAAACAATAGCAAGATAAATACCAGTATGTATATACTTTAAGCCTCGAAGGAGCTGATACAGAAAGAATTGATAATGCTCTGGGGTCAAATCATCATTTGCTTTAATTACTTGATGTAAATCAGATTCCATCAGCTCAAATACAACATATATGTCTTTAAATTCTCTTCTTGAAGGAGGCAGCAGAATGTGCTTGATTTCCACAATATCTGGATGCCGCAAAAGCCGGAGAAGTTTAATCTCACGTAAGATACGAGTGGCATCCGAGACATGTTCAAATATATCATTTATCTTCTTAATCGCGACTTTCTCTCCTACATGAGTGTCATATGCAGAACAAACAACACCATAACTTCCTTTACCAATAACCTCCTCTATCTTATACCGATTACCCTCACCATATTCCGTAAAGAAGTCCACATCCACAGACGTCTGCACAAAGACATTTAGATTCGATATCATAACCTAGTTTATTAATTTAACGATTAACACATCATCCTTTCTCTATCCTAATGAAAACTTCATTTGCACATGACTATGGACAACTAATACACTGTCTACAAATATGCAAATATGCAAATTTCAAGATACAAGCACAATTATTCCAAGGTATAATTGCAACCAATAGCTCCATTCTGTACAGACAACATAACTAAGAAAGCAACAACATAATTATGGATTTAATAGGTGATCATGGTGGCATAATCCACAACAAATATTATCTAAAAACTATATAAATCCTCATTACATATGCCAAAAGAAAAACCAATCAATTACAACCTTAATTCAATGAAGAACTAAAAGGATTCACTAGTTTGCAAATAGCTGGAAAGCAGCAACCTAAGGCAAAGGTGCACAATATTGGATGATAAATTAACATTCATGGGCACCATAAATCCTATCAAATGCAACTTAAAACCTTAAGAAACCTAAAATGCAAACTAATTTTAGAAACTTAAACGAAACATTACATCAAAATTTCTGTATAAATTACCTTTTTCCTTTGATCTTGTTGCATTTTGGCCAAAAAGCATTAATGGCCCCTTGATCCAAATGAATCAATTAAACAGATCGAATTGGTGGGTAGCTTGAATCAGCTCACAAAAAGGGGGCAAACCCTAGATCAGAAGTGCCCTTAAATAGGCCAAATTTACCCAAATAATGTAAACTTTTATCAACTTAAAAAACAAATAGATTGAACCAATATAAACCCTCAAATTTCTCACAAAACCCAACTCAAAAATCAAATCTGTAAGCTAAAACAAACCCATTTGAAGTTCTTCAAACTAAAAAGCAAGAAGAAAAGAACCCTAATTTCTTAGATCCAAATAGCTTCTTAAAAAAAGGCAAAGGATCAAAGGATTGATCTACAGCTAAATATACCCAACACAGAAATCGATATGGCTAATATTAGCAAGAAATGAAGAACTTTAACGATTCAAAATCAAATTACTCAATAAAAAGATCCTTTTTTTCTTTTTACGAATCAAGCAGAAAAGGGTAAATAAGATTTAATCTTTTTAATTTCTAAAACAACGGAAGAACAACAGGAAGTTGATTGAGGATAAAAAAAACAAAGAAATGGGTATTAAAGATTAAATCTTTTCGATTTCTGGGTAACAGAAAAATTGAAGATTTTCTTAATTTTTTAAGAAAAATAGGAAGTTAAAATGGGGTTTTCGCAGGTGGGTTAGATCTTTGGAGAGGAGAGAGAAAGAAAGAAAGGGTAGATTTGAAGTTCCGTGAACAGTGATAATGAATGCTGCTTCAAGCAGAAGGGTAGTGGAAAGAGTTAGCCACAGAAATTAAAAAAAAAAGTGAGGGATTTTTGTTAATTTTAGATTTTTAGTGCAAAGAAATGATATTGTTAATAAAAAATGAATAATAAAAATTAAAAAGTTGGATAATTAATTAGTGAGGAGTATTAAATATGCTGCAACTGTAGTCCACATAATTTGACAGAGGATAATGACAGCAGAGACATGAAAGAAAAAGTAGAAAGCTTCTTTAAATATTGGGAGGGATATAAAAGGGAAGTTTTTAAGTTCACAAACTCAAACATAGACAACTAGTATTATTAGTATGTTTCCCTATCAAACATAATGTGGATTACTAGTAATTTAAGTTTTTGTGCCACCTAGGCACCTAAAAAATCTAAGCTTAACAAAATCACCTAAATTTTACTTTTATCATTTTTGTATATGATATCATGTTTGGTGAAAAGCTGAAAAATATAAGTGTTAGTTGATTTTTATTATCAAATTGTATTCACTGATTGTATAAAAATATTTGGTAAATAATTAGTTTCTTACAAATATTTGAGTTTGAAAAAAAACCAATGAATATATTGACATATTTTATAATGGTATGATAGTTTTGGGTTAAATGAAGATATAAATTGTCATTACACCTTAAAATACTTTAATAGGCTGATGAAAAACTCATTTAAGTAGCTCATTGAAAATGAGCTTATTTTGATGAAATGAGCTTTTTGAATCAATTTACCACCAAACACCCCAATCAACTTATAGTGGTAGGGTAGTTTTGGGTTAAATGAGTTTCATTGTCTCTTACCATATAGTTTTGTGAAAAAACTTTATTAAGGGAATTTGAGTGTTTGTAATTGAATCACTAAAGGGTTAGTAATTGGGTAGCAATTGTGAGGTCAAGTGTGAGTGCTTGTGAGATGAAGTGCGTGTTGACCCCGATCTTGAGTTAGGTGTGGGGATTGTTTAGATTTATTAGATAAACACTTGTTATAATTGCTTTTGTTATATTCTGATGAGTTGATGAATAAGAATAATTAGATAGAGAGGATGTAGGCTCTAAGTGGAGCTAAAGCTCAATAAATTTTGGTGTCTTTATCACTTTTATTGTTCTATTGTTTTTGCTATGCAGGAACCTCCGCTGGTTCCCCTTTGTTTTTAGAAAATTTTATAAGTTTACTAATTGTTACCGCACTCAAGTCAAACCCCTTCTTGAATATCAAATGTACTTTCAAACTTTATAATGTCCATTGAAAATTATACATACAAAAAAATACTTTACATCCAAAAGGAAGGGAGGGAGTATAAAAATTCATTATTTCTTTTACAAATTGTTTACCCCACGTTAATTAGGTATTATTACAAATTTAAATGAGAGAAGATAAATATTACTCCCTCCGTCTCATAATACTTCACACAGTTACCATTTTCGTTCGTCCCAAAATACTTGACACGTTATTAAATATGGAATGGGACCACTAATAAAAAATATTTTTCTATACTCTCTTTGAGACCTCAAACTCCAAAACTCAATTAAATCCTACATTTTCTCTTTCCTCACTACCCCCACATCCCCCACTTTTTGTTTTCTTACAATACAAAAATACAAATGAGAATCTTTTATAAAATGAATAAATGTTTTAAATGGACTCGCTTGTAGTTTTCTTAAAGTATGTGTCCACCCAACGTCTCATGTATTATGGGACGGAGGGAGTTATAAGTTTGGATAAGATCAGACCAGATAAGATTTGAATTTAAAATAAGATAAGAACTAATAAGATAAGGTAGATCATAGTTACAATTTTAAATTCAAATCAAATAAGATAGGGTAAATAGGATTCAATAAGATAAATTGATAAAATAAAGTTATTTAACAAATTCAAATAAGATACGGTAATGGTTAATGAGTTCAGACAAAATAAGATAATACAAAGTAACCTTACAACCTTATTCATATTTTTCTCATTAGCTAACGTGAAGCTCCCAATTGAGCAAAAATAACATATTTGCTTCTAACTGTTTTACCATCTATTGTTAGGGGTGTACACAAATTGGCCCGGATTTAAAAACTGACCTGAATCGGACTCGTTTAGATCGAATCGGTGAATTCAGGTCCAGTCCCAGTCCTTAAAAAATCCATGATACCGGGTTTCCAGTCCGGTTCTGGTAAAAACCAGAATTTTCAGGTCCGGACCTGAAACCGGTAAAGCTGCATTTTTTATTTATTTATTAAACAGGTCTAAACAGGTCCAAACAGGTCATATCAGGTCTAAACAGGTCCATATTAGGTCTAAATTAGGGGTGGGACTTTTCAAACCGAACCGTGAAACCGCCCGTTACCGAACAGAACCATCACGGACCGATCCGTTTATAAACCGATAAATATAAACCGAAAACCGAACTGAACCGTTCAATATCAAACCGAAACCGAATTGAACCGCTCAATGTCAACCCGTTACGGACCGTAAACCGATAACAAACCAAACTGCGCAAATCCGAGCCGAAACGAAACCGAACCGAATGGTTTATAAACCCGTTAATGACCCGAACCGTTTATAAACCGAAACCGTTTAAACCGAAAAAAAAACCGTTTAAACCGAACCATTTGTAACCCGCTAACCGTTTAAACCGACTCGTTTATGAACCGAAACCGTTTAAACCGACCCGTTAATGACTTAATGAGTTAATGCACATCAATATCTGACATCTCTATAGTCTATATGTATATTATATATATCTGTGAGTCTGTGACTGTATATCAGTATATATAATAAACTAATAATAACTTAATAAGTAATAATACTAATAACTAATAAAGTAATGAAAATCTAACCATTGTTTTTCATGGGCATTCAATCTAACCGTTGTATATTTGACTATTCGTACATTAGTATTGCATAATGATTTCATCACCACTTTAATTAGTGATTTCGTGATTTCGTCCATTTAACTTATTATGTTGTTTGAGTTAGTAATCTAAATAAAGTAACAAACTAAATAACGAATCCATTTAATCTCGTGTAAGTTATAATTTATAAGAAATGCAATGTTTGGAAATGGAAATTGATTCAATACGATATTGTTAATGTATATGTAATTATAGATTAATTATTATGTATATCATATCATACGAATGTACGGTTGGTATCATTATCATACTATCATAAGTATCATTGCCTCATTGAATTATTGCTATGTACTACAATCGATAAACATATTTACATATCTGATTATTAAAACTTAAAAGTTTAAAACACTTGTTGATCAATCTAATTGAATACTTGTACATTCTTAATTATCGATTTATCGTATTATAAGTATCAACTCATTAAATCATGGTCATGACGCGATCTTTAAAACAATCATGAATTCATGACCCAAACCGCTTATAAACCGAACCGACATGATCCAACCGTTCATAAATCGAACCAATTGAACTGTGTAAACCCTCTACTAAACCGGCCCATTTCAAACTGAACCGACATGATTCGCACCGTTTATAAACCGAACCGATATTGACCCGGGTAATCCGCCCCTAAACCGACCCATTTCAAACCAAACCGGCTTGATCCAAACCGTTTGTAAACCGAACTGACATTGACCCGGGTAAACCCGCCCCTTAAACCGACCCGTATCAAACTGAACCGACATAATCCGAATCGTTTATAAACCGACCCGCTTATGACCCAAACCGAATTTAAACCGCAAAGAAATAAACCGAAACCAAACCGAGCCGTGACTAACCCAAACCGACCCGCCAGCTAAACTAAACCGTTTCAATCCGAACCGCTCCAAACCGAAACCGACTCAAACCGAGGTCAAACCGAACCGTCAGACCGAAGTCCCACCCCTAGTCTAAATAGGTCCATATCAGGTCTAAGCAGGTCCATAAACAGGTCTATAAACAGGTCCAACAGAGTTTTTATTTTTGTAAAAAAAAAAAAGACAAAACAAATTAAATAATCAAGTCCAAACCCGAATCGGACTTGATTTTTCAGGTCTGGACTGGAACCGGACCTGTTGATTCAGGTCCGGTCTCCGGTCTTTAAAAATCAATGATTCAGATCTCGGTCCATTCAGGTCTAGGTCAGGTCCGGTCTAATTTTGAACCAGTGTACAACCCTATCTACCGTACAAGTACTATATGATACAACCGTATCTACAATAAAAATTATAACTTTGTTCTAACCGTAATTGCCTAACTTGATGCCTCTTTCAAGGGGAAGAAATTTCCTTCTCATTTTTATTCTTGAGCAACGATTTTCATGATTGCCTGGAATACCGAATATACCTTTCATCTTACAGAGTTATGGTGTTGGCATATTGCTATTGCTATAGCCTATAGGCCTATACATGATGCAATAGTGCAGACGTGCAGTACCATAATTGTTTTCAAAACAAAGTAAGGGATTAAGGGGTCTACAAATGAGGGAGAGTTCCTAAATCCAGATAATTTATATTACAATTTAATAAGAGCATGATTAACAATTACTCCGTATCTTTTTCATATGTACATTATTAGCTGAGCTTGATTTTTTTTTTTTTTTTTTTTTATAACTAGTGAGACATACAAAGTATTTACAGAGTATATAGCTGGTATATTATGGAGTTAGTACATGCATAGTAGTACACAAAAAATACACTACCATTGTGTAAGGAATTTTTCAACTCTCATTGAGCTCTACTGTGGATCATGCTTTTAGGCATGGCGGCGTTCCAAGGAAAATAAGCTAGAGATAAAAGAGTCGCCAACAAGTTTTAGGAATTTGTAAATCGTTCACGGGTGTGAAACACCCCATTCACGACCATGGAGATCAGTAACTCCATAGTGGTCCGGAACCATGACTGGATGTTCAGGAATGATGGTACGAATCCAACCTAAAACATATTGAACCCGCCCTAAATAGGCCTCTACTCAATTCTTATGACATTCATGTGCGCTTTTCGATCAACATACAAAATCAAATTAATCCTAAACCTGTTTAATCTATGTTGGTTGATTAGTAATGCACAATCAAATCTATTATTAATGATCACTTGAATTAAAATCATATTAAACCTAAATTCAA